GAGAGAGAGAGAGAGAGAGAGAGAGAAAAATCGATCGAATACAATTTCCAGCGCGCACGATACTTGCTTGCACAACGATCAAAACAGAGTCGCTATGTTTTCATCCGGCGGAATAACTTCATCGGGCACTCCCGCTCTCGGCTACTGCCTGTCAATTAGCTATCATTAACAACATCGGCAAATTAGTCGGAGGCTAAGTCTCTCTGTTCGTAGGAGTAAATCCCGTTTCGAGTTCCACTTCGTTATATCCACTTATTATTCCCTCTCTCTCTCTCTCTCCTTTGCTTTCTCGTCTCTCACCTCTTACTTGGAGCGTTATTACGCATTTTCACACGCGTTTTGCCCACGCGCTTGCTCCAATCCATTCGCTCGAATGCATTTCCGGTGCCTCTCACTCGCGTCATCATCGTCATCGTTGTCGCCATTGACAGCCGTTGTACACGTCACCGGCCCACGTGCGCAACTCTCTCAACAATTCGAACCTCGTTTCTTCCGTGTCTCTGTTCATTGCCCGTCGTCTTTGAAATAAATTTGAACAAATTCGATCGAACATGGATGGATGTATTTCCATGTGTGTAACAAGATGATGTGAAAAAAAAGAAAATATTGGAAAGTAAATAAGCAAATTTATTTTGATATCCTGAAATTTCGAATTATTTTTTTTTTTTTAAATAAATTTCAATAGGTTCGAACGTTTTTATTACGTGTTATTACAGAGATAAAACAGGAATGATGCGACGAATTTATTATACGAAAATTACGATAAAATTGGTCGAATCGATCGAATGATATATATATATACGTATAGAATCAAAACGTTCTTTCAAATTTTGTCCTGCGAAGTGTATAAAATCCCACCCTAGATATACATATCGGGATACAAGGGGTCTCGTTGTACACGTTGCGCACAAGCAAGACAATTTCTCATCGAGTTGGAACGACGCGTCGTTAATCACCGTGATGATGCGCGCGTCTTGTGTGGCGCATTACACGCACGACAACTCAATTCGGCCGACATGGTTACACGGCTTTAAAACCGCGCCTCGCTTATAAATATTCCACCGCCGTTGTCCAATACGAGCGGTACTATTGTTTCGTTGACGCTTACCTCCGTCACGCTTTCGTTTCTTCGATTAACTTCTTGCTCCACAGTTTTTTGAGTATAATAAAAAAGATTAACAATTTTTCTTTTTTCTCGTATAATACGTGATAAAGTATTGGATTCTATAGGAGTCTATTTATCGATCGAAATTTTTTTCTTCCATTATTTTCTTGTCAATAAATTATTATTGGAACTTGATCCCATGGAATCAAGTTTATTATAATTATTAAAAATATATTTTCGATATGATTATTAGATCGTGAATATTTTTGTATAAAATTAAATTGAATGTTAAATGGAATTGGAAAAAATGGAGTTTATATTATAGCTTTGAATATTCTTTCCTTTTTTTCTGCATATACAAACATCGAATAAATTAATGATCGATGTTAATCGCGCGGATCACTTTAATGAAACATTCAGATCAATGTGTATGTGTGTGTGTGTGTGTATATATATATATATTTGTCAATACTTCAAGGTTCTCTATATTGACAATACGCCAATCTATTTCTGCGAATGTTCAATAATATTGATAGAATTACGTATTCCACGTACGATATAATATTGAGAACTTGGTAATATTGACAACTTGCATAAATCGATTGCCTGAATATTTCTTTAAGATACAATCGCTCAAGTTGCAGAAATCGATCGATTTAAGTTACCACATCTGTAATTAAAGTTAGTTAATGCGCCGTCATTTGTCATCGTTATAGATACAGCCAGTCGACGACGAGTTTATCCAATTGACGGTATATGGTATTTCCATCGATAGTATCTCTGGTATCCGATAGTGGCCGAACGAAAGTTTCGATCGAACGAATCTTGTTATGGGAATTATTGTCCCTTCCAGAACACGAATACTCACGAGTTTCTGTACAGGAGGATTGATAAAATTTTCCAGTAACGATATCTAGGTTGTTGCCGAATGTTGTTACTGGCTTTTTCGTATTTTGGAACAAATTTATTTATTTTGACTGTTTCAAAGAGTTAGTTTTATATATCTTTGAAGAGAAATTGGATAAATTGGAAAATCTTGATAAGTTTAATTTAATATGCTTTAATAAGAACTTTTAATATCTTTTAATTTAATCTGAATTGAATGACATCTCAAAATTTCTAATATCATGTAATAACGATGGATATAATAGTGTGAAAAGTTTGATAAGGTTAACTTAAATTAATTCTTTGCTAATGAAATTCAATTTAATAAGTCTGTCTATTAATCAAATTTCAATCTTGGAATAGAGATATTTATATCCTTACAATTTTTAACATCTATATCTGACAATAACTGATATCTCAAAATTTCTAAAAATGAATAATGTAAAAAGGCCTAATTTAATTCCTAACCTAACGTAACCTAAACTTTTAGTAATAAAATATGAAATTTAATAATCGTTTAATAATCAAATATAATTGTAATGCACAATTGCACAATTTTTATTATTTCCAAATATAAGATTATATAATTTATAATCTTAAAAGTAAAAAAATATTTAATAATAATAATAATTTTACAATTTTTTGCAATCAAGGAATTATTATTAATAGATAGAAGTTTTCAACAAATTTGTTTATTCTCTTACCACTTTGACTATTTTAAAAAACTAAATTTTTAAAAGAGAATTGGATAAATTGAAAAATCTGCAAATGCAAGTTTAATTTATATCCTTACAATTTTTAACATTTATATTTGACAATAACTTGATATCTCAAAATTTCTAAAGATGAATATAATAATGTAAGAAGGCCTAATTTAATTCCTAACCTAACATAACCTAATCTTTTACTAAAATATTCTTACGGAATAGAAATATGATATAATTGTAATTGGACAATTTTTATAATTTCCAAATATTACATAATCTATCTTAAAAATAAAAAATGGTATCTAATAATAGTAATAAGACTGAATCCACAATTTCAACGGGTATTACAATTACCGATATTCGATAATTTACCTTTGCAATCAACGAATTGTCAATTGATTGAAATTTTCAGTTTGAAATAAATTTAACGCGCAATTCTACGTGTATCTATCAACCCTTGTCCTAATTAGCAACAGAAGGGTGGCAAACGGTGTGGAATACCGAAAGGGTTTGGGGAAATCAAAGTCAGTTGATTAACTCTCTCTCTCTCTCTCTCCCTCTGTCTACGAGATCAGTAATTAGCCACGCGGGGATAGCTATCAACACGAGCAAACTTCCGATACATTTGCAATGGCAATTAACATTTATTTTCTCCGTGCTCTGACTTCGAATTGATTCGATTGCTAATTTTTCCTTTTTTCTTTTTTTTTCTTCGTCTTAAGGTCGCCTCTTTTATTTATCCCACCGATTCGATAGTCGCAAAGAAGAGACGCAGATTCGATTATTATTCATGAGTTTCTTTGTTCTTCGCACAGTTTCCAATTACCGCGAAAAATAATTGCCTTGATTTCAATCGAATCGATTGATTATACATACCAACTGAAAAAAAATAGAAAAAGTTGAGTGAATTATAATTTTATACAGGATATTTAAAAAAATTTAATTAATCAAATAATTCGTACATTCACGAGAAACAAAAAAAAAAAAAAATAAAAAAAATAAAAACCTTGGAAGAATCATGGATGAGAATCTGCTCAAATCGATCAAATTTTCTTGTCACGATCATCATTCTCGATGGTTGGCTCGTAACAATTTTCCAGCATTTTCCAGCGCCCCCTGTGAATAATATAATGAAACTATAGCGCCAAATAATTGGGAACGCGGGGACACGTGATAATACAAAATAAATCCGACTATTCCAAGAGGGAGATAGATACGGTTGTCCAGTCCAATCACGGGGCTCCCTTCAAATCCGATTACCATAACTACCGAGTATTACTCCGCCTGACCACGAGGAATCTCGCGTAACAAGCTTCATACCTCGGGACGCAAAGCTGCTGCTACGAAAGCATCCCGCCTTTTCTATCCTTCCTTCCTTCCTTCCTTCCTTCCTTACCGACCGGAATTCAACTTTAATTTCTCGATCCTTCCTTTTCGCGGAGTGTTAGATATTCGTTTCTTTTTCTTGTTCTCTCCCCGTAGGAAAAATAATCTGAGAATCGTCAATCTCGAACATTTTTTGCAACAACAAAGGGGAACTCGTTCCAGTTTTAAACTTCTTCTTTCTTTCGAATCGATCGGTTTGGCTCTGTATCTTCGAAAGCGAGCCTCTGAACGTTTTATTGTCCTGATGTTCTAATCCGAGCAGTTGGGTTGCTTCGAACGCTCTTTTTTTCTTTTCACTCGAGATTAAACCTCGGATTTGTCGTCTCCCTCTGTTCGGATTTTTGTTCGGCGAATGGCGGCGTGTTTGGATTCTAAAGTTAAAATTTTATCGTTAATAATTCGGGGGAATTGTTGGGATCGAATTTTTTTAACTTTAAAGGAATTAAGAAAAATTCGAGTGAGCGAGGATTGAGAGAATAAATTAAACGAATACTTCGATCTTTTTTTTTTTTTTTGTTTTAATATCGATGTAAAATTATCGAAAATATACTTACTTATTTCGACAAATTAATTAAATAATTATTTTAATAGTTTAGAAATTTCGTATCGATTAGTTAATATTTAAGCGATAAACTGGCTTTTCAACTCCACTTGCACAATTTAAGAACATAATTCTTCGTCAACAACGTTATAATCTCGTAAATTGCATTAATTTGCATTTTTATCAAATTAACTCTGATAAAAATTGTGATGACAATTTATACGATGATTTATATTTATTACAGGTGAAGGAGAGTGAAAGCTCACGTTGGCGTGTCCCGGCCTGACTGCAATCATGCGTTATCCACTGATGCTTCAAGCGTTCATCGTCGTTGTGCATATAGTGCCAGAAGCTCGTCTCCATCGTCCAAGGGGTGAGTTTCTGAAAAATGTCAAAAAATTTATCAAATACATTCGAAAAAAAGTTTGAAACTTTTGGCAATTAGCTCGCTCGATTCTTTAAACTCGACACCGTTCGTGCAGTTCGAATCGGAACAGAATAGTCCCTCTTTCTCACTCTTTATTGCTAACCTTTGCGGTGTTGTCATTTTTCACGACGCAACGCGGGACATTTTAGTCGATCCTTCGAGAATAAAGATACGTGTGACTCGAGGGAATTGGAAGGAAGGAAAGTCTTTTAAGATTAATTTATTTCCTTCATCGATTCGAAAAAAATTATAAAGAATTGATGTAAAGTTTTCTTGAACTTTACGATTATATATATATATACGTGATATTGCGATCTTTTTCTTCGTTAAAATGAAATTTATGATCTATCTATTTATGGCAAAATATATTACATATTTATTTTTATCGTCAAAAATATATAATATTCTTTGTTTCGAATAGAAAGAGAGAAATAGATGGATTTAAAGAGAATATACGCGATATAGGCATTTTATACGGGATTTATGAAAAGAGACTACGATAAATCAGTAACTTTATACGATTGTCAAAACACGTTCGAAAAATTCGTAGACCTCAAACCAAGCTTAATACGATCCATCACGCGTCACGAACCCGACTTCGAACAAGTCGAGTTGGCCACAGAATCGTGAAATGATAACGTTTCATATTATTTTTATATTATATATTCATATTAATAATTGCGGTGCAATTGCAACCGCACAATTTTCACGTCACTTCGTACGCGATTCAAGTTCGATCTTTTTTTTTTTTTCTTTTTCCCCAAAACAAGGACAAATGAGACAAAATTTTATTGGACACTTTCCATTTCATTTTCACTTCGTGTAAAAAATCTTCTATTAAAAAAAAAAAAAAATTGCAAATTACCATTTTCGTTGAACTTTAAATCGCTCTCTTAAATCAGGATTGAAATCAAAATTAACTTTCTCTCAGAATTATTCCAAATAGTCATAATAGTCATAATCACCCTTCCATATTTATTTACTTTTCCTTTTATCAATTTAATGTGAACGTCTCGATAAAACCAATCGAGATCCAAATTCGAAATCTGACGAAAACACAACAAACCTCGTCTATTAGAAAAGAAAAAAGAAACGAAAAATTCTAGAACAAAGAAGAAGCCGCTGCACTTCCCGTCCATCCTCCTCTCTCTCTCTCTTTCTCTCTCTCAACGAGTAACGAAATCCGTAACGAATCCAATTGTTACAACCGCCGCCATTTTTTTTCCAGATGGCGCTCAATGCTTTTCAATGCAGATGAATCTCGTAAATATTTATTCGGTCTCGCGTGGGCGGTTTGGCGTGAGACAATGCGGCTCAAGGATTGGCCTGTCATTAGGAGGCCAATTATCCTCGATCGGGCGAAAATTACAGCGGAGGTGGCGCCCGTTTGTTGTTGTTGTTGCTGTTGTTGTCGCCGGGGAGGGAAAAACAAACGCGTCAATACGACACGCGTAACCCGTCCATCCTTAATCCCGCAATTATTGACACCCCTTCTTTCCTCCACCCCCCACCACTCTATACACCGCCCACCCGCTCCGTAACGACGATCATTAAGGCGTTATTAAGCGATGGAGAAGAGGGGGGAGGGATTCGTCACGCATACACACACACACACCCTCTAATTTGAAACTTAACGCCCCGGAATTCGAACTACGACCGAACCTGGCCAAACTTGGAATTGTTCCCTCGAAAGTTTTGGCGTGGGATCCGGTTGGTCGGATCCGGTTTAAAATCGTCGTCGTGGTGGGAGGAGGAGATATAAACTTTGCGCGTAATTACTCGCTTGTTTGCGCGGAAATTTTCGGAAATGCTGCCCGTGTTTGGTTTTTAAAGAAGGGAGGGAGGAGAAGGAATTCGTGAAAAGTATGCGCAAGAATTATATTCGTCTCAAAACGAGTAGAAGAAGAAGAAGAAGAAGAAGAAGAAGAAGAAGAAGAGGAAGAAGTTCGTCTTGTACTTTACGAACATTTTAATTTCGATTCTATTACGCGTAATATTGAAAGATTAATTAGAGTTTGAATATTTAATTGAAATTTCTGGAGGGAAAAATGTGGAGCAATTTTTTTCTTGGAAAATTTCTTTGACGAAAGGATAAGAAAGGATGAAATTTTTCCTGAATATCGATCTCTCTTACTTGTCGGCAATTCGAGCTCTTAAAACAAGGAAGCAAGTTTCGCAAGTGGCGAATATTTTTAGCTTCGAAGCGATATAGTTATAAATAGAATCGGTGCCAAGCAATCGAATCTACACGTCACTTTCCCGATTATCGTCTCTCGTTAACCGACGACGACACGCGGCCGTCCGTCCTTGCCGCTACGTTTTTTTACCGGTGTTCGTTGTCGAAGCGCATTCGAACACGAGTCACGTCACGCTCGTCGCGGTCTCGAAGGATTTAGAGAACGTTGCAATTAAAAAGAGATAAAAAGGAAAAAAAACGCTTACGCCCGCAGCGTGCCTCGTCGATCGCATTGTCCTCGCATATAATATTTTCGCTTCGAGTGCGAAATTTTATTTTTCTTTT